CGGCCCGCCCCGCCCCAGCGGCGGGGGCCTCCTTGTCAATGGGAGCGCCGGGCTGCACGGCTCGCGCGGCGGCCGTCAGGTGGCCGGCCCTCAGCTCCAGCCCTGCGCGGCCTCCTTTCGTCGTCGGCGGGCTCTGCATCTGGTCTCCAGCAGCTGGGCCCACGTTTACCTCAACCAGTGTGAGGAGGTAGTGGGTTATAATAAACCTGTGCATTCGGGAGCCCGGGGGGGGGGCCAGATTCGGGGGTTCTCTTTTCTTCTTTTTCTGTTCTTCCCCTTCTTCCTAGGTTCGCATTTCTTGAACACTTAGTATGTGGGGGAGACGGGACTGTGAGGAGAGGACCGCAGCGGACTTACAAAGTCACGGCCCGTGCCCCAGGAGGGCCTGGCCCCGGATTTCCCCCGGCGTGGCCGTCAGACAGTTCCCACCCGGAGCGGCTGCGGTGCCCGGAGCCGAGGAACCGCGTTTCACGGGAGCCTCTAGCGAACGCTTCCTCCCGGAATATGGCTTCGAGGCTCTGCAAACCTCGGGCGGTCTAGCTGGGCTCAGTCCTTTGCCCTGACTTCCCCTGCCCTACGCCTTCCCACGCGAATGGGAAATATGAATTCCGTAGAGATTTTTGATCAACGAAGAGGATGTCTTCTCTTCTTAAAAAAAAAACAAAACACAAAACTTCCCTCTCAATCTCCAACCAAATAAAGACCCAGAAGCCCGCGTCAGTTACCCAGTGTGCTTTAATCATCAAACACTGAGGACACCAACAGACACTGGCTGAAGATCGGGCGTGTTCTGGGTGGTCTCTAATACTTTGAAGAAAGAAATTCTTACTGCACAAAATAGTCTTACACTCAGTTCCATCAGACAGCTCCAGGAGCCTTCCTAGAGAAAGGGGCCAATAGACAAGGCTGGCTGGGGGTAAGACAGGCAAGCAGCCACTGGAAAAAAAAATTTTTTTTTCTCCTAACAGTTGGGCATTTCTGTGGGCCTGAAACCAAACTTGTTTCATTCCAACAATAGGAAAAAAAAAACCCTCAACCTTCTGTTTGGGAAATATTACCCAGCATAAAAATACCTTTGCAATGGGGAAAAAAGAAGGCAGTTAAGGTCCACCCAGAAGAAAACATTTTTTTCCCTTGAATTTTAAAAATTTGGTATTTCCCACTGTGGGTTTGCCTCATTCTACAAATAGCTGTCTACGTCAGGAAGTTGTATGTAATGTAATTGGCACATTTAGATTTCAATCATATTCTACCTATTTTTAGAAACTATGGAGAAATTTTATATAAAGTAAATAACTGCCTTCTCTCCAGTCTTCCTTCCTAGATGGGTTGGGGAAGTCGTATTAAGGAAAGGAATCTGGTTTGGCTTAAAATCAGACTATCACTAAAAATCGGCCTTTCATATCCAAAACAGAGACCTTAGATACCCAATATTCTATAGAAGTTGTTGATTCTGCTAGAGGTTCATAGGGCAGCATGCAGATCTACCACCTATCAGATGCAGAGAAAAACTTTAGCAACCTTATACAAGTTCTGCTATATCTACAAAACTGAACTTGACATGTTGAAAGGTAAGGGCATAGCCATTTCACTGCACATTTTACATTTTAGTGCCCCCATTGTAGCCAGTGATTTCAAAACTTAGGCTCTTGGAGACATTTTGATTTGTGTGGCTGGTTTAATCTATCCTTGACCGTATGTGTATTTCTTCCTTCTTGATAGCAGTGCTTACAGTGGTGGAGGTACAAACCTATTTTTTGCGTTTTTCTTTACTCATTCAGTAGTTATTGCACACCTACCTACCTACTTATCTACTGTGGACATGGGGGCTTGTCTAGGTGTAGATGTTGTGTTTCAATTTGCCTACCCTGTTTTCTTTTTCTGGGTCACTTTGCATCTTTATGGCTTGATTTCATAAAAGACTAATAATAATCCGCTTCATCTGTATAGTGCTTTACAGCTTACAGAGCACTTTTACAAAAATTATCTCATGTGATCCTCCCACATAAACCTCAGTTAGGCACTGTGGTGTGGGAAGCTTCGTGGCTGAGTGGAAAGAGCCTAGACCATGAATACAGATTGATAAGAAAGAAATTCTGAGATATCCTACATTTAATTACAAAGAGCCAAAGGATTGAGGACAAAAAGATGGAACAGATAAATTAATAATAATGTACAGAGGACAAATTATCATTTCTACGTTCTTTGAGTTAATCTATGTTAAAACTTTCACTCAAATTTGTTGAACCACTGCATTCTGGGTGCAGCCAGAGGCAGACATTTCTTCTCCTTGAACATTGTCCTCCAAAAAACTTTCCCTACTTTAGGTCATCTTATTTCTCTTATCAATAACCAGTGGAGCTCAGTGTAATACATTTTGTCTTTCTTCCCCACTTTCTCGTTGTCTTTGGGTTTTTAGATCCAGTGGTTGTTTTACAGCTGCTATTTAGCTCAAATGCTGCATGTTGCCAGACCTTGTCCCAGGACTGGTCATTTCTTCCTATGGCTAGCATCTATAATAGATCATAAATCTTTCAGAGATCGGTAGGTCTTGGGAGCTTTGATTCCATGAGATCTACATGGGTACCAGTTAAGGAAGCTGAGACTCAGTTTAGGAGCTTGAATAATCTGATCAAAATCATGGAGTCACTGAGTAACATGCCAGCACAGTGCACCTTTTACAGGTTGTGGACTACATATATGAAATATCCATCCAATACTCAGAAAGCTTATGATCCCAGAATCTAGTCAGTCATATTCTAGTTCCCTCAAAGGAAATGAGGATGAGAACATCTCAATTCTCTGTGAATTATGAGTAATTAAGGAATACGACACATATTCAATTGGTACATAGTTAATCCTGTGGGCATGAGGAAATTACAATCCTAATTTCAGAAGCAGCATGCTCAGTCCAAAGAGAGATTTCATTTTGTTTTATTTTATATGATCCTCAGAATATATATTTTTCTAACTAGACAAATCTTCTCAGTCTATACTCTGTCAACAGTCTCCATTGCTGCATAAACTATTCAGTGTACATTTAAATTTAAAAGTAGATAAATTCTGATGCTTTATATATGCCATAGAAAGAGTAATAAGAAAGCATACAATAAGTTAAAAAAAATTACACGTGGCTTCCAATTCCAGAGGAGAGCAATTTATGATTAGGTTAACTGCATTTCCCTATTTATTTCCTCTTAGAATTATTTAATTTACTATGTATGTATTGGTGGTTTACAATTTTAATATATTGAGTTAGATTCAATGGAAGTTTTTGTTTGTTTGTTTTGTCAGTTGTGGGGCTTGAACTCTGAGCCTGAGCACTGTCACTCAGCTCTTCAGCTCAAGGCTAGTGCTCTACCATGTGAGCCACAGCAACACTTCTGGTGGTTTTTTGGAGATAGAAGTCTCACAGACTTTCCTGCCTGGGCTTGCTTTGAACCGTGATCCTCAGATCTCAGTCTCTTGAGTAGCTAGGATTACAGGTGTGATCCACTGGCATCCAGCTTCAAAGGAAATTTTAAGGAAGAGATTGGAGTCCTGAAATCTTGTAACTTCTAGAATGTGTTCTCAAAATTATTCATATTAGACTCAACTATGGTGCTTGTTAAAAATTCAGTTATCTATCTTCTACCTACCCATTAGACTCCACTGCAATGTTCATTAATAGCCAATTCTCAGGTGATTTTTCTGTACATAAGGTGTTAGCTTTATCTAGAATTAGTGTGCCACCTAATTCTGCCAGAAGCTTATTTTCCGAAAGTCCAGCTGTCTCCTATGTTTCTGATTTCACTTTTTCTTTATGTTTACTAGTTATTTTTGTATTTCTGACAAAAGGAAAAATAGGCAGATTACTGTTCAGAATGAATGTTATTGTCATGGGAAGAAAATAGGCTAAAATATGTGGTCCATGAGCCAAATGAGACTAAACCAAAAATCCAGTAAATTAGGCATTTGAGGGAGAATAATAGATCATTGATGATTTGGGGTTTCTAAGTGGTTCCATTATATAAAATGGATAGGTTAATTCAATTTAGAAGAATATCTGGTATGAGTTAGATTAAAAGATACCTTCTTGTTTTCTGAAAAGTGTTTGCTATTGGTGAGGGGAGATGCAGATTACTTTTTCTTTTTCTCGGTCCTGAAAAGATAAACTCTCAATTCAATGTTTACTGACTGGTGTTTTATGCACAACTCTTAGATCCATCAGAGCAGTGGTTCTCAAATGTTTTTATGCGTAAGAATTACCTGAGGGTGTGTGTGTGTTACCTGAGGGTGTGTGTGTGTGTG